AGAAATTCTTTAGTGCATGGAGAAGTATGGGGGCTGCAAACAGAGGAATACAAACCAAAGGCTTTGGTGGTACACTCAAGAGTTAAGATTTACAGGAAAGGCTTGTGAGGGTGATAGTCATATCAAAACTGGCAAACCACTAATTTTTCTCTTACCTTAATCAAGGCAAGTTTCATCTTCAAGTATTCCCTGGGGGGGAGGGGGGGAGGAGGAAGCAATGCCATCTAGTGTTTAAAAAATAAAGAACAAAGCCTTCTTTCTTAACACCTCTGTCAAAACAGGTTACCAATGGATAACTTTGCAACCTGGAATGCTCCCACTGGTTTGGTGTTACAGACAGTACCACTGAGTGCACATGTACAATATTTATAGAAACTGGTAAGAAGAACATGGTGCAAACAGGCAAAATGGTGTTTAAGAACATAGGGAATCTAAATAATTAGTTTTGCAATGGGAAAGCTGTTAGAATTGATTATCAGAGGATGGCAAGCAGTCATTTTGTCATATTGAACTCTCCTGGTTTTATTTTGGGACATAATGTCTTCATTAATTTTTAGACATGCTTGTTTGGGGTAGTTGTTTGATAAAAAATGCATCCTGTACACTGGCATGTTTGAATGGAGAGGAGTGATTCTTTCTATGGTGTGTTTATACTACAGGAGTACCATCAATGAGGTGGACTTCAATATAAAACACAGTAGGAAGAAAGTGAACAAAGAGGTTAGTTCAGGTGTCAGCTGGAAAGAACCCACAACAACAATCTGTCAGGGAAGATGTTATAAGGCGGTGTGTTTGTTTGATTGGAAATTACTAATTTTTAACTTTATTAATAGGTACTTTCAGAAAAGTACATTTACCAGTCTATTTTTCTTTTTCTGAAAATGTAGATCACATCCTGATGTTGCAAATATTTTTGCATGTTCATATCTTTAAGCAGGAAAATGCACTTAGAACAGATCTGAGCACAGGGAGAATAATAGCCAGAAATCAAAGCTAAAACACCTAAATGCAGTAAGGAACCTTAACTACTGTGAGTGAATGGGATTTCACTGCCAGTGAAGTCTACTTTACCTATTTCACTGGTTCTTCTGTTTGCAAATTAAAATAAATTCCTGTGACAGCTTGAATATTTCTGGTGGGAATAATGTATCATAAAATAAGGTGTTTTTAGGACTGCCAGTTAAACCAAGTTAAGAAGTAAATCTGAATTTTAAATGCACTGATGTTCTTGAAATATTCATTCTCTGTGTTTATTCCAGAACAATACTTCTTTTCTCATTAATTTAAATGGTCTGTTTTTCTGGGATGGGTTGTTACCACATGGAATACTCAGAAAAGAAAACAAGTGTAAAAAATGTAAATATTGAATGACTGAAATGTGAAGATAGGTTAACTGAAACCAGTGAAGGTTGTTTCTTTCTGTGCAAAAGGAAGAGACATAGGAAAGAAAATGAAGCTTAAATACTTAGAGAGTTGGGGAATTAAATCATTCATCATGCTGAAAAGGAAGCATTTAAAATTTTGACAAAAGTACAGACTTTCTTAGGGACACCCCATCACCCTCAGGTAGCCATGCCTATTGTCCATTTCCAGAGGTTATAACTGGAAAAGGTTTCCTCTTCTGGCAGAGCTGCGAGGATGCTCCTGACCCATTTAAATCTCTTGGGGGCCCAGGGGGACACTGAGCCAAGGCAGACACGGCTGGCCGGGAGGTGCCCGCCCCGGTGCTGTCCTGCTGTCTGGCGGGACGCTGCCTCGGGGGAGCCACCCATGTCCTTGGGGAGCTCATCAAGGCCCCGCGTACTCACACAGGGCAGCTTTTTGGCACTTGTGTAAGTGGTGGGAGCAAGAGGCCGCTCTCCATGTAGCTGCATCCACTGGAGAAGGAGATCTGTGAGCTCAGTGGGCAGCAGTCATTTCCACTTGCACAGATACACCTGGCAGAGATGTGACCCGGTGTTCTGGGTCTCACACCTCCAAATATGCTCAGTCAGCAGTGGCAGATCCTTTCAGAAGAGGAACAGAGCATAGGAAAATGGGAGACAAAGGAGAAAGGTAGACAAAAGGACAGCAGAGTCCACTAAATATTTCAAGCCAGTATTTATTACATTTTTAATCAAAGTTCAAGGTCACTGGGAAGTTCATTATGTCTGAATTGTAGCTTTCATCCTCTGGCCTTTTAAGCCTCAAGTTAAATTACCAAATTAAAGACCTAATAACTTTCATGTTCTACTTCAAGAAACAGAAGAAGTCTTTTGGGACTTACTCATCACCCACTGCAGAATGAACACTGCTCTTCCCCTGGCTTACTTTTGCAATCCCTTTGGGCTCTCAGAAGCAAGTGGTCAGCAGTAGGAAAAAAGTCACATGGCCAACATGTAACATCAGGCAGCTCTTCCTGAAATTGCACTTTTGTGCCAAGAGGGTAGTTTAGATGTAGTCAGCTGGGATCACCAAGCTCATCCATTGTATTTTATCCCACAGATTGAAGCTATTTGCCTGTGTAGGCTAGAAAAACCCAACCAAAATGGATTGCAGAAACAACAGTCTAACTTGTAAGGATGGAGGAGGACATTTCTTGGTCACTCTCAGAGCAGCTCTAATGAGCTCTTGTTTGTTGTGGAGAAAGCAAGCTCAATGTCCTAGACAAAGCCAGTTTATGTATTTTTTTACTTACTTTAGCTGTTGAGCTGTAGAAGTTTGGTGTAAGCTTAAAACAGAGACAATTCTGTGAGAAAAGTTCTGACATTTTATTCTTTCTTGGTTAACCAAAAGTATGTGGGTGCTTTCAGTCTTACTGGGTCACTGGACTCTTTTAATCATCATGTAGTCATTTGTCTTAGTAGAAAACCCTTTTCTAGGAAACCTGCATAGGACAGGCAACAAATGGGAGTAGATACGATTCTTGAGGAAGTCAAATGGCACCAGAATTTTTTCTGTCCCTCATGAGTACATACTATTTGTGCATTATATAAATATCAAAGTATAAAATTAATTACAGCTAAAAAAATTATAGTTGCTTTGCTCAGTTTCTCCAAACATCTACACTACTACATTAGGCTACAGATCACCTTTGCCTGACTATGCAGCAGAACTTTCAGTCCTTTCTTTTCTTCCAGCTTACCAATATCAGGAACTGGTATTTTTGCATGCCCAAAAGACCTTCTTTGTCCAGAAAAATAATCTTGTGGATATTCTTCTAAAACTAATAGCAGAACTTCTCTGATGATGACAGATTTCTCTCTGACACAGGTTACTTACAAGTTCTTGTTTTCATGAGCATTAATAATTTCTAACTTTTGTGAACACCAAGCTCTCCTTTTCTGACATATCCCTGGATCACACACTTACCTGAAACCTGGAACTGAGCTGCATTTTCTGTTTCATTCTGCAGTGTTTTTTTTTCTAATTTCCTTCAACATGTTATTGTCAATATTAAACAAAGGCAGCAGTGTAATTCCAACACCTTCATCCCTGTTATTCAAAGAATTGAGTAGACGTATTCACACTTTCAAGGTAGGCGAGTTCAATATTTTGAGCACTCTCTTAAAGGTTTGTGGTTTGTTGCATCAGTCCTAGTGATCTTTTCTCTTCTCTCAGTCCTGACATTAAGCTAGAACTTATTCTTCAAGTCTGCCCAGCTTGTGGATTAGACCTTGGGATGTTCTGCTTAGCTGGCCCGAGCTTTTCTTTGCTAGAGAGTTCTGCCTATCTACAGAAGTGTGAGAGTCAGCATGCAGTTCAGCCTGCCTGTAACCTCTCAAACCCTTTCTCATTTTTCTATCTATTCAGAGCTATCTTTGGATAAAAGCCATGCTACTAGTAGTGCAATGGAACAATCAAAGCTAACTGCAGTGGGAATGACACCGTTTAGGAAGCGGTAGTTGTGATGGCCTAAGGATATGATTCAACTGCACACCAACAACGTGTAACAGCCCTTTGCCTCTAAAAGAGGAGCCCTCCCACCCCTGCTTCCTTCCTTCCATTCCTGCTCACAGATGCATGATCTGAAACTTGCTCTGCAAACATCTGATGTCATCAGGGTAGAAAAGCTGTAGCTCTGCTGCATGAAAAGAGGCAGCTGACATGCTGTGAAAAAATTGCAGGAAAATGTGTTCTTTGCACTTCAAGACAGCAGTATATTGGACCATTCTCAGGGGAGCTGAACAGTGGAGGCAATCGAGACTGTGAATAGAAACACATGCAAGAGATCATAGAGCCTAGGAAAATACAACTATAGCGTAACAGCCCCTTCAGAACTCAAGTGATCAACAGAAGTTTTTGGTCCTGATGCTCAATTGAGCAGAGTGCAAAAAAAAGACTGCCAGTCACCGTGGTTGTATGGAATTCAGACACAACCTGCCTTTAAGACTCCACTTCTTGGAAAATTGAAACAATCCCAACCTATATCTCCTCAAAGAGAAACAAAGTTGCTGAGAAATTATCTCAATGGGTCAATAATAGTGCTTTCGGAATTGCCATACTAATTTTCTTTATTTGGTTGAGGCATTTCTGTGTCTCCTAATAAAGGGCATTCTGCACTTCCACTTCTTCCATAGCAGAAAAACTTCTGTTTTTTTTTTTTTTTTTTAAATTGATAAAGTGGAAACACTTTCCACTAGACCAGGTTTCTCAAGGCCCCACGCACCCTGACCTTCACCACTTCAAGGGATGGGGCATTCACAGCTTCTCTGGACTACCTGCTGCAGTGCCCCAGCACCCTCACCATGAAAAAATTCTTCTTTATATCTAATCTAAGTCAGGTATAACTATTCATTATTACTGAGTTACATAGCTACAGGTATGCAAACAGCCAGTGACTGTACAACAGGAATACGGATGTCATTTTTTGTACAAGAAAACCTTCATATGGAAAAACAAAGGCTACAAGAATTATCAACTGAAAATCAGAATAAACATCTGGAAAATTCATAAATGCTGACCAAAGTAATTTGCTGCTCTCCTTAGCTTTAATGAAAACAGATCATGTCGAAAGCTTGTGTACGTTCTGTATATAATTTTTATTTATCTAGGACACTGACCACATTTATGTCTTCTCTAATTGTATTATATTTGGTCTCCTTTAAAGCAATTACATGAAGTTTACATTTTGATGCACTAACTAAACATTGTATCAAATTTTAAAACAATTTAAAAAAACATTCCATCAAACAAGATGAAATTGTATTCTTTTAACAGAACTGATTATCTTCTCAAATGAATGCCTCAGGACTCAGGGTAAACAATACATCCAACGGACAAAAGCCTCTTAATTGCATCCCAAACATGCAGACTGTGCTGGTCACCAAAGCAGAACTGAATTTCTCCTTAGGTATTAGCTTCCTACCAACAGGGATTACAGCTACAGCAAAGTACTTCTTTAAACTACACATATAACATTTTTTTAAAAGATGCCACCCTGTTTCATTTCAGTTATGAGCACAAATGGATGGTATGCCAGTCATCCATGAATGAGTTTTGAGCTTCTGCCTCATAAACAAAATGCAGAGTTTAGTCACTGAAAAAACGCAGGGCATGATAAACCCTCTATCAAACAGCACAGATTTCCCCATTCTCCTCCTTGTGAGCGAACATGACTTGTCCCTGGGACCCCCACCGTGGCTGAAACAGTCACTGGTGAAATTATAGTGGGTGTGTGTGCAGAAATCTGTGACTCCACCACTGTCTAAGCTCCCCTCTCCATTTTCAGATAAAAAAAAATACAAAATATTTCCTAAATACATTTAGCATACTATCCATGTTCAGGATATTTACATGATGCCAGAATTATTTTTTTTTCCTTCCTAAATATTAATTTAGGAACACTTTGTCACTGTGGTAGATTATTAAAGGTCTCTGGCTGCCTTCTTTATTTTCCTTTGCACAATTTCATCTACCTGGTGATGTTTGTGATAAAATACAATGTGTTTGTGCTGCAAAGCTTGGTGGTTTTGTTTATATATAAAGTCAGTCTCAATGACTGGCATATTGCTAATAAAGTAGAATAAAATATATTCATATTCCAAAATAATATTTTAGAAAATGGATGGCATTATAGCTATCTAGAAATTACACTGAGTAGTAAAGTCTATGCTACATGGAGTAGCTGAGCTGAGGATCACTCAAAGCAATACCTGTGACAAGTGTCACCTTTGTATTTTCTATGAACTATGCAATGGCAGTACCACTCTTTACAACTGGTGCAAATTATCTAAATTACTGTTGTTCTGATCTAAATTACTGATTCTGTTGTTGCAGAATCATTGCTACTAAAATATCTAACTTATACAAACTAAAGCCTTACATTAAATATAAAATAAATTGAGAGTAACAGAGACGGTAAAGGAAATTAGGATTTTTAGCACACACTGCTCCCAGAAGTTTGGGAGTACCAAATATGTGATTATGCAATCACTGTAATAAATGCAGCTGTGTTTATTTCACTGCATGGACCCAACAAACTGTACAAGCTAAGCATCAGTGTCTTGTTCATAAATCAGTAAAAAAATGTAGCACAGTATGCAAGATAGACCTCCTTTCTCTTCCAAGTGTTTTCAGACTTGGCAGAGTACACATTCCTTAGAGGATTATGAACGTGTCCAGTTTTAATAATTTCTAGCAAAATAAATTTTTATTTCAAGAAAAAATCATATTATACTTTGCTTAATAGCATAGGAATCAACTTTTAAATACAGTGAAATCCAGCTAAAGAAGTTCTGTTTTGTTTTTCTTAGAAATGAGGTAGAAGAAAGTGTAAAAAATTTCAGTGTATTTCAGGAACAGCTTCTTTAGAAGGAAAAGAAAAGTTGATTGCATTTAGCTTCCTTCCAAGACTCACCCTTGTGGTCTCTTTCCAAAAGTTTAAATATTTAATCCCGGGTTGTACATACACAGAAAAAAAGAAATAAAACCCAAACAAAACCAAAGAAACAATGTTACAATGATTCCAATTTGTCTCTTTGCTGTGTCAGATTTTCTGTGCTTTGCATTTAATGATAGCTGCAACTGCAGTTCCAAATAGTAACACAGTCTTTGTGATCCACAATCCATTTAAGCCATATAGTCAGTTATTTTCCACTGAACTCTATAAATCTTTACCATGCTTTCCAAATAGTTGGGGGGGGTGGGGGGGCAAGCTTAATAATATCCCTTTAAAAGGAGGTATCATTTAAACCCATTATTCTATTACCAATAATTTAAGGAAACCTTAAAACAGAATTCTTCTGCCAAATATCTACTGGACCACACTATAATTAACTATTAGTCTATAAACAATTGTCTTCAGTGAAACAGTTCTGCCCACATGCCCACTGTATTCCATCACTGATTTATTTAAAACTTCATATTTTAGCCTTAAACATATTTCTCCAAAGGCCCTCTTTATCCTACATCAATATGGTGCCCACTGTCACAGTTGTTCTGTTTGGAGCTGATATTCCTCTTTAGCATTTCCAATGCAAAGGAAAATACTTCAGATGCTTAATTTTTCCTTTGCCAATTAGAATTACTGGAGTAAAATCATATTAAAAAGAAAACTTTAGAATACTGTTTAGTGACTGCATTGCTTGGAAACAGCTTTCTGTAAAGATATTTCTGTGTACATTTATTCTCTTTAGGGAATGGATTTGTGTTTGTTTTTAGTTCTGCATCTGTATATGTCTAACAAAACAGAGTCTGAAACTACAAACATGCTTTCCAATGTCTGTTTTCAGAGAACAGACATTTAGTCAGTGGAACTTCTCCGCAACTTATCTTCTAGCCTGGAAAAAAAGTCACTTGAGGCTCTTAAAACATCAAAGCAGTTTTATTTGTCCTAAGCCACCAAGCTATAGAGGGGGAAGGGAATTCAATTTTCTAAACAAGAAATACTTGAGGCCAACTACAAATCTGACCAGGAAAAATTGCAGACTGCAAATAACTCACAATTCTACTTTGATATTAAGATAATAATCTGAATTATATTTCTACAATACAAGTTTATTTCTATAACTGTAATTATGAGAGCTGTATTTCATACTCTTAGCACATTCAGTAAAGGAAGCCTAGCTGCTTGCCTTCACAGTTCTTGAAAGCATAATCTTCACAGATCTCACTTGGAAAAATTACTGGATTCTCCTGAACTGAAGTTTTCAAATTAGGCTTATCATTTTGGATATGGAGTTTACCATTAGGGAAAAAAAAGAAAAAAAAAAAAAAAAAGAAAAAAAAAAAAGAGCACATATTTGAGATAGTTTTGTATTGTGTGGCTTCAAAATAAAATTGTACGTTTGACCAGTTTTCTTTTAAGCCAAATGATCCACCCAAAAAAGTCACCTACAAATTCTTTCCTGTAAGCTATGAATTCATCATTGCCCTGATGCCAGCAGAATCTTTGACATAGTGGATCATGTAGATACAGGTTATCTACAGGAATCTACATTTCCTTTTTCCTCTTTTGTGTTGTATCCATCTGGTTTAGGGCTTGTGTGATAGGAATTGTGTTTATTTGCTCCCTGAGTTTGTACAGAGTCTCACACCATTGGGATTCTTGCCCATGACATTCAGAGGTGTGTACAGCTGATTATGTCCTCAAGCCTATGTTTGTACATAGTGGAGGTGAGGCTGAAATTGCTTTGAAAAGTTAAACTTTATTTACTTAAACTTCCTTGGCATGCCTGGGTTACTCTGTACTGGTAATATTGTTCAGTGGCATCTCATGGAGACAATATGAATAGTAGTTTCTTCTTACTGACATGAAGGGTAAACACTGGCAAAGAAAACAAACCCATTTTTGTAGGCACTTAGCCAAACTATTAAAACAACCCAACAAGTATTTTATTTCAATTGTGGCCATAAGACTATTGGGTTTTATTTCCTGCAAGGTCTTACTCCATTATGATCCTCTTGTGATAAATTACTGAACAGCTTCAAAAACAGGCTACAGAAAACAAAGGATGTGCATTGATTGTTTGTGATGTGAGCTGCATGTTCTATCTTGTTGTACTAAATTAATCATAAATATTATTCAATATTTAAAAGTGGAAAAGAGCAGGTGCCTGCCAAGAACAGGTGTTACCAATCTTACCTTAAGTAAAATCCAACAATCCTTTCTACATATTACTTCTATAATATACACCAGAAACCATCCTTTGCACTAATACATCTCCAGCTGTAGATAAGAAGAACCTTTTGTCACATGTTTTTTGATCTGGTCTTGTTTCTAGAATTTACTCTCCATTTTGGTTTACAAGGGTTCATTTTAGCTAATTTTCATAGAATTCTGTAAATAACATGATAATAATCTTAGAGTGATTGTAAACAGTGAGTAGCCCAGTGAGTACCTGCAAAAATAATTCAGCAGGATGCTCAAGGGGGAAGAATTTGCTGAAGATTTATTTTAATGCATTTTAAGAGCTCATATGAAGTTCACTGTTGTTAACTATTGAATATGCATGCAGAAGTGGTGCCATTTTATCCCAGCCTTTTCTCATGTCTTTCAATGGGTTGAGTCCTGTGAGAAAGGGATTTTTATGATAAAATTAGTGAAATGAAATTATTTTATTATAATAGAGATGGAATTATTTGATTATAATGTATTTTAACATGTAAACAAGCATTGTCCAAACAAGACAGTGGTGTGAGATGGAAAGCAGCTATCATCCTTATCCTTCAGAAAACCCTACTCTTTTTACAACAAGCCAGCATCTAAAACCATGGAAACAATTTTGAAATAATTCTAAAGGAGAACACATTAAGCACCAGGGAATCACCATTGCATTTATAGATAATCTTCGTTTTACATCCCTGACAGAGTCTGAAAAATTTTGTTAGGTTTGGGACTGTACCTGAAATACTGGTTGTGCTGGCAGAGCCAATGAGAGACTTCTTCCTTTTCCAGTTGAAGTATTGGGATTGCTAAAACAACTATAGTACAGTTTAAAAGCTTTGGGGATCTTAATTCATATTACAAATATTTAAAAATTTAGAAAAAGGTAAATGTAACTGTACAATAGCTTCTATATCTACTGAACACATACAAAATATTAACATGTTTTTAAACAACTAAAAATTGTATAAGGAAAAGCTTCATCACCAGCATAGTAATGCACTACTGGGACAAATTGTCTGCAGGAGTTGTAGAGTCTCCATTCTTGAAGGTTTCAAGGCTTATACAGACAAAGACACATCTGGCCTGATGTAGCAGTAGCTCTACTCTGAATAGGAGGCTGTGCTAGAGATCATTGATGCAGATTTCATCCTGGAAGTTTTTTGAGAGAGGCTGAATAAAATCTGGGAACCTGGTCTATGCACACAGTTGACCTGCCTTGAACTCGGACCTCATCCTGTCTCTTACAAACTGAGTTAGCTCATGTTGCTATGATCTTCAGAAGTGCTTTCCAAGCACAATTACTTCCATGATACTGTGAATGTGAAATCCAGACTAACTAGTGAATATATTAATAACATTCTTTAAAAATAATTTTCCAGGTGTCCATCCAAGAGCTGAAGAAAGAGTTAGAGATGCTTAGCTTAGGCAGCAATTGAAGTCCCTGGGCTGAGCTGAGGTGGGGCTCCTGGACTTCTGGACAGAGGGGTGGGGGACAGGAGGGGCTGTCTAGGGACATTTGGGCCTTAGAGGCCTAGTTCTTGGTGTGACTGCTGCTTTCCCAGGGATTCAGCAATTCCCTTCTGTTCTCCCTCCCTCCTTCCTTATCACTATGTCCTGACTGCCTGAATTACCACACTGCTGGCTCAAGGAGGTTGTTTATTCTTCATCCACATTCAGGTAAAAGATGTGTTCAGTTCTTAAGCAGGTAATGTATATAATGTCTTGGTAGCTAATCGAGTGTTGATTTTTTGCAATCAGAACACTTCATAAGCACACAATACTGGTGGAGGTTTTAAACTGCTTGTTCTTGTGTTACAGCACTGATTTCAATGGACTATTCATGCTAGAGATGTGGAAACGGATCAGTAATAATACATAAATCTAAATATTTATATATGATCATATTCCTTCACTTAGCATAAAGATAGTGTGGGGAGAGAGAGATACAAAGTAAATATACATGTTCTTGAGGACATATCCGTCACCAATCTGTAAAGAATACAAGTGTCTAACACACACAATTCTACATCCATATTAATCTAGTGGTAATTAGTTATATGTATAATTTAAATTTTGCTCTTGCTGCTTTGTTCTGCCTGTTTATCTGGCTGATAGATACATACACACCTTGTTATGCTGCTCCTCACAAACCAGCAACAAGTACTTTTCTTCCTATGAGCAGATATGTCCCAGACTGTGCTCTTTTCTGGAAGGTGATGCTACAGCAATGTCAGGATTCCATGAGCACAAGGTGCCAGCCTGTGAAATGCATCTGAAATTAATTATAGAAGCTAAAGGGCCCAGTGCTTTCATCACTGTCTTGGAAGCCTGTAGAACCAACTTGCCATCTTATGTTAACTGAATAGGGTTTTCAGAAAGAAGAATCTGATTTTATTTGCATGAATATCTCAATACAAAGTACAGACTTAACTTCTTTGAAGTTCTTCTTCAAAGCATCTTCAAAGGTGGGCCTCTAGTTTGTAAGGAGATATACATGTAAATAAAATAATATTCAATTAACTTTTTAACTTGCTGCTTTAACAATAATATTGTTGCTATTAAAACACTGTTACCCTTGGAGCATTTCAGTCAACAAGTATATACAAATGCTACCACTGTAATGCATGGTGGAGTTGTCAGAGAAAAAAGCCTTTTAAAGGTAGAAAAAAGGCTTTTCTGGACCGTGAATCATTATCACAATACAAAATTATGCAAAATCTCAGATAGAGTCCAAAACATGCCTTCTTTCTCCGTCAAACTTTGATTGTAGGAAACAATGTTATCTGCAATAAGATTTCTAGTAACAAACCAAGACCATACTACCTTTAATTCTTTTCTCTAAACTGACTATTATCTTTTAAAAGAAATTAATTATTCACTATAGAATTACTTTATGAAAACATAAAGTCTGATGCTTTCCAATTAGCTGCCCTTGTAGGCTCTATTAAATCAGATATAAAAATAACAGAAGTACCTTAATAATAATTCTAATGTGGTGTAGTATGCAGGGATAAGTAATTCACTTGGAGCAAAACATTTCCTGCATGCTAAAATTTATTGTCTTTTCTATAGTATTTGTTCCCTCCTACTGAGACACTAAACTGAAGAACATTCCATTAACAGTGGAATCCAACTGCTTCCTGAATATGAAAGTAATTTTATTTTAAAAATGCTTCGTGATGGAAACATTTCCCCTTTATTAAAAAACAGACCATCAGTCATTCTGTTTCAACTGCTTCAGTAGAAACAAAGGACACCTAGACACCTTCCACCCAAACTGTCAAACAGAACACCTTTAATCACACGGGGGGAAAACAAACCACACCTCTATATATCAACTGTAAGGCAGGTACATTTACTTGCTCATATAGCATGTGAGACATGAGCTGAATGAAAACAAACATTCCCAACATTTCTCCATTGCCATGGAGAAGCAGTATTTATCTCTACAATTTCCCAAATGGTTGCAGAAATCTGCCTGTAAGTCTCAATTTGTCCATTTTTTGTAGCCCCCTATATATTTATACATACACATATATGTATGTGTGCAAATGAGGATTCTACTTAGGCAGTCCTGTGACTGAGAATTTGTGTCTGGCTCACAGCCCGTGTGACTTTTGCTAGCTCTTGTTTCGCTGTAACGCATGCCAAACCAGATATCAGAAGCCCTTTGTATTACAGAATCAACTGTTTCAGCTTCTCTACCTGTCCCTTAAGTCTTGTACCACTGCCTTTTTGTGTAATGCATCTGCAGCTCTACAGAGATAAATTCTTTCTTCTCAGTTGCTTACATTCAAACACCCTCAGGTTGTTTATTCCCACAAGTGAGCTCTGTGTATCACAGTGTATCACTAGTCTATCACATACCTCTTTCAACAACACTGGTCATAATGTATCAGAACTGATCCAGCTCCTTAGACCGAAACTGTGTCCTGCTGCAAGGAATTACTTTGACTACAGGCTGACCTTCAGTGCACATTTGGTCCCTGTCATTCACCTGAGAATCGCTTCAAATGCAATCTCCCCTTTTGGGTCTCCAAGTGTCCACTGAGTGTCACAGCTGTAACATCCCATCCAAGCCTTAATGAGACACTGCTATTTAACAGCCTTGCTATTTAATAGACGCTGCTATTTAATAGTGGAATTCAAGGTCCATAAAAAGGTTCAGCATCAGGGTACGACTGGAGAAACATTCTCTTGGTATCATGGGCAGTTTAGACAGAGGTAGCGATGCATTCTAGGTGCTGCATTAAGTTATTGTTAAGTCATGATGTAGCTTCATACTGAGATGCACACTTGCAAACACCAGTAAAGCTTCTGGTCAATGTTTTTTCACTGTGGGTAGTGTGGATTATACCACCCCTCACAGCTGGTGTGGGAATAATGTCTGAGAGTTTTCATCACAAAACACACCATAATGAACAACACGCTTCTCAAGTCAAAATAAGATCTCATTGCAGGTTTAAGAAATTCAAGCTGACAAGTTGTAGAGATAGTTGGTAAGTTCATTTCTCTAGGCCACAAACTACTGTCTTGTGGGGGGTAAAGAGCTCAGGCTACCAGCCATAGGTAGGAAAGGTACGCCAGCCATTCAAGTCCACAAAGCCACGACTGGCAGGGAGCACTGAGGTGAGAAGTGATGACCAGAAATGCAGTAGCAACAGCACCAGAAAATAGACTTGGTGTGGCTGAACTCATTAATTACTCAGGCTAGATAGGCACACTGCTAATTATACTGCCTGCCTTGAAAATTAAGCTCCTGCAAGCCAACGACTCAGGACTGAAATCCAGGCCGGAAATTAGTACTGAGAGCTGCATCCAGCTGAGCGTGGCAGAGGGTTCCTGGTTTCGCTGTGCAGCCGGTCCGGGCGTATCTGTCGCGGGGACAAGGACGGGTCCCCCTTGCCCATGACGCCCGTTCCCGACCCGCGGTGCCTGGGCGGGAGAGCCGGGGGGGAGCCGGGCCGGGAGCCGCGGGGAGCGCTGCCCCCTGCGGGCGGGGACCGGCACTGCCGGGGCCGTCCCGCCCGTGTCCCTGCGGGGGACAGCGACGCGCCCCGAGTGCCCCGGGCACGGCCCGCGCTGCCACCGGGAGTGATGGCCCCTCTGCCGACCGCTCCACTCTCCTCCCAGCCTCCGCTCTCCAGGGCTACGGGAGCACGGAAACAATTAGGTTGGAAACACCTCTGAGATAGTCGAGTTCAACCTGTGACCGAGCACCGCCTTGTCAACTACACCATGGCACTCAGTGCCCCGCCCAGTGTCACCTTAACAACCTCCGGGGACGGTGACTCCACTGCCTTCCAGGGCAGCCCATTCCAATGTCTAGTCACCCTTTCTGTGAAGAAATTCCTCCTAATGTCCAACCGAAACTCGCCTTGGCTCAGCTTAATACTGTGTCCTCTTGTCTGGAACTTGCTGTTCCACCGGCAGCATTGCTAGCCCATATAGCTCCATGTGAATATACTGAGTTCTTCCAGCATGCGCTCTTGGGGAGAATTCCTGTTGCTGACCGTATCTGGAGAGAGCGGTGCCTTGCAATATCTGAGGGATCATTTCCCGGCGGGCTCAGCTGCCACCTGTAGAAGCACAGTTCAAGTGGCTGTAAACTGTGCTAATAAACACAGGTAACAAAGGCTACAAATGAGTCAGGTCCCTGATGAGGGCTCCGCAAAGTCAAGCAAGAAGTTCCACCTGAACACGAGGCAGAGCCTCCTCACCCGATGCCGGCAAAGCCCTGAACAGGCTGCCCAGGGAGGTGGCGGAGTCTCTCTGGAGACACTCAAACCCCACCTGGGCGCGTTCCCTGTCACCTGCTCCAGGGGACCCTGCCTCGCACGGGCGTGGGACCGGATGATCTCCAGAAGTGCCTTCCATCCCTAATGACTCTGTGATTTTCCATACCGTGTAAACCTTTAATTTGAGGTGCGCGGTGCTCCGTGAAGCACTAAGAAGCAAAAGCAGCTGAGGCCTACTCCCTATAGAGCGGGTTGTGGGTGGAGTGTAATTACAGGCAGGAGGTGGAGTGAGCAGGGTGTAAGCCGGGAAAAGAACCAGGTCGGCAGCGCGGTGGTTTCCCTGCGTGTTTTAACACGTGTGGACTTGGATCAGCTATTCCGGGAGAAACCACTGGCCCTGACGGCCACCGAACGCCCCGCGAGGACTTCTGGGAGCTGTAGTCCGCCCGCGGGGGAGGTCGTGCCTTGGGGCGGGTCTCCCACAATGCACCTCGCTGCGCCGCCGGGCCGCCCCGCCGTCACGTGATCCGCGTGCCGGGACGAGCCGGCCGCTGCCGCGGGGGTCCGCGCGCGCCGCGGGGGCGGGGCTTCTCTCAGGTAGGGGGCGGGGCCGGTGGGCGTGGGGCTGGGGCCGGGCGGGGAGGCGACGAGATCCTCCCGGTGTTCCCCCCGCTGTTCCCGGGCCGCTGCCCGCCTCCCGAGCCTCCGCCGTAACGAGGGGCGGTACGCGGCTGCCCGGGCTGCGCGCGGCCGTCTCCTCATCCCGGGAGGTAGCGGCGGGTCCGAGATGGCGCCCGGGGCTGCGGTCGCCGCCCCCGGGGTGTAGCGGGTGTCTGTCGGAGGCGTTTCCCCGGCGAGGAGCGCCCGGTACCGCGCGGCGCGGGCTGCGTGTGCCGAGCCGGGCAGGGCCCGCCGGTGGCGGCAGGAGTAATCGCAACACAACGAGCGCGTCACGGCGGTAACACCAGCGAGCAGCACCGAGCGCTGTAACAGAGAGACCAAGTGCGGGGCTGCGGAACAGCTGCGCCGCTGCAGCAACCACTCGGCATCGGCCGAGGCTTCCACCGCAGGGACGTTCTGTGCCACGGGTGGGTCGCAGCATCCCCGTGCCGCAGCACTGTAGGTGCTTTGCCTGCCGTGGGCCCAAGCAGTCCTGGTGTTTCCTAGCCGTAATCCACGGGACGCGATGCTTGAGATCATTTGGAGGTACCTGTTGGCTGATGGAGGTTTTAACTCGTACTTTTTCCACTCATCAAGCAGGCCAGGGCATCTTCTCTTAAAAACTGGATTCTCTTGTTCTCAGAAATGAGTGCTCATCTCTGAAGGAACTACAAGTGTCATTTCCACGAGCTGTCTTTCCACTTGCTTTTATTGTGAATGCCAGTTTAAATTTATTTTTTTCTCACTTTCTTTTCTTCCCTATGAAGACAGTAGTCTAGATGCAGTAAATCGGAAGAAATGGAAGAAAGGAAGATCAAGAGGAGGAGCCCCAAATCATCTTCCAGTCACTCTGCTCAGGTTGCTAACTCCAAGAAAAGCTCAGTGCCAGTCAGTAAAAGTACAGCCTTTTCCAACCCTGCCCCACAGCCTGCCGTACAAAAACCAAAGTTAAAACGGTAAGCTCGGGGCATTTGCAGACTTAAAGGAAGTGAGAGCCAGGAACTTGGCAATGTTAAGACAGTCTAAAGGTTGTTCGGACTATCACAGAAGAATTTCAGACTTGTGAAAAGTTTTGATGATGTATCTTTTTTAGCAACATGATTTGTGTTTAATGCAATATAATGGTTATTTTACAGCAAAGGAAGGTGTTCTACACTCTTCCTGTAAGCTTAATGAAATGTTACACAATGTTGTAGACCCACACCAACAATAATTTAGCTCAATATAGCCTGATGTGGCTGGTTGGGTGATCAGGTTTGGGCATCATAGATAGCAGAGCTCCAGATGCACAGCTGTGAGCAACAAATAAAATATTACATGACTGCAAGGTTGGAACTGACAAGTATGGTAGGAAATGAAGAACACAAACTGAATAGGATGAGCTGGAACTGGAATTTCTAGGTGTTTTGTAATTGGGGACCTCTCAGCTGGGGCAGCATCTTGAGTGAAGAGAGACATTCAGTTCTTCAGAAAGTATCACATCAGACTAGTTTGTGGTTTTTGTTGATGATATGTTGGTTTCAGTTTGAGAACATTAATTTACCTGCATGTTAGAAAATGTGTTTCTTGGCTGTGGCAGACACAGTAGATAAATAAATGAAGAAGAATTTTAAAGTGAAATGTTAGCTGGAGAGAGGCAACGGAATTCACTGACCTCCGACTTTTAGCTGAAGATTAAATCTAGACCTGTGAGCATCAGCATAGAGAGTCTGTTTGAAGGATGCAGTATTGACCTGATAAATAATGAATTTCTGCAGTGTAAAGTCTATACATTATTTTTCAGGAAAACTGTGTTAATACTCAGAAGGAAATATTAGTAAATACTAATGTGCTATAAATTGGTGGCTTCTGCAGTTGACTGAATAGTCTACTCAAGTCTCAGCATTCTCCTGGGATTTACTAGAAATTAATTTCTTGCAGTCCACAAGATTGTCTAGAGAAGAAAATATCATTTTTGCTGTAAGTTCTGACCATTCTGGCACTATTGTTAAACTTACCAAGCAGTGCTGATACAGACAATTATTTGAACTTTCCAAGGAGAGGAGGTAATTGACATAGTAATGTGAGGATGAACTGCTGTTGTGATAATGGAGGAAGACTATTTAATTAATTTTCACTTCATCTGCAAGAAACCAATGAAGTAAGTTTTACAAGACCAATAATATATTTTATTAAACATTAGAATGGGGTAGAAAAAATGGATGACCTGTCTGTTGTACAAACCATTAAGTCTGAAGTTGAAACAGAACCTAAATTGAGATGCTCTTGAGTTGAACTGGATATGGTGATTGTTGGACTGCTGGTTGTTTTTATAGCATATAGTCTGTATGAAGTTTTATAGACTACAGAAGCTCTTGGGCTGGACAAAGAATTATTATTTCCCGTAAGAAAGACAGAATTTGCAGAGCATGGGGAGGGCAGGGCTTACTATGCTTTAAACCCCCTTATCTTCACTAATTAAATAAAGTCTCTTTTTTAAATCTGTGGTATTTTTTTAATATCCCATAGTATTCTAAATTAAATTTTTTAGGCTCAGATTTTTTCACTAGATCAGGTTCTGAACAGATTGCTCACAAGGCTGCAGGACAGCCTCCTACCTAAACTGTATTAGGATGCAGCCTGTCTCTCTGTCTCTGGATCAGAGATGGAACATGCTGCTTCTCACTGGTAGCTGTGTTTTTAGTTTCCATATTGATTGTGTGTTCAAGGGGATTTAAAATGGTTATTAATTTTCATTCATGTAGTTTCTGTGGGAACATGGTGCTCTGAATAAATGCTATGTCTAGAGAAAAGTGTATGGGAGATCCAGGAATTTTGATGGTTTTCTTGCAGGAAGGGCTGTAGAGTATTTTTAGCAATTTGATGTTTGGGCATGGACTAGTTTTATTTGGTACATTAGAGTAGTGGGAGAGTGGTTTTGATGGTGAGATTTACAAAATTGGGATGTTGTTGTGGATTGAAAGAAAGAGCTCTTAGAAAATTTATGTGGAGGCAAGGTCACCTTCCAAAGTTTATCACCAGCTGCTTTCCATATGGGTTGGAGTCTATAGATGTTTGTGACAAGAGGAGAGTATGATTTTTGAAGGGTTTTCTCTCTGGGTTACAGATGCTTTTTGGGTGATTTTATGTAGATAGTGTCTGCCCAGGAAAGTGGTGAAATCACTGGAAATGTTAAAAAATCCTGAGTGTGGTGTTTGAGGATGTGGGTTAGTGGTGAACATGGCTGTGCTGGGTTAATGGTTGGATTTGATGATCTTAGAGGTGTTTTGTGTGCTAATGCCCTACGTGTCACTGCCAGGTAATGCTGGCCTACTTTAGATTACTAAGATGACCATCAGAGATGTGTGGTTCCTACTATGAGCAGGAAAGCAGATTGTTGGAACCCTTCATTTTGCAGTATTAAAATGTTAAGATAGTGATGTTCTTTATTTTTAAGACAAGCTGGTGGTCCAGTGTTTATCTTAAAAGCAGTGACTGAAATATACACTATGTATTTCCCATTTAATTTTCAAAGCTCAGATGTACATTTCCTTACATTTCAAATTTACAGTGAAATTGAAAGTAGGAGGTAATATTTGTTTTGTTCAATTTTTTTTTTTTAGCGTAATCAAAGAGAAAGCCAAACCTCCAGGAGGTGAAGCAAAAGGGGCACAGGCAGCACCAATCCAGCATTCTTTTCTCACAGATGTATCAGATGTCCAGGAAATGGAAAGGGGACTTCTGAGTCTCTTGAATGACTTCCACTCTGGCAAACTTCAGGCATTTGGTAAGTGCATGAATTGTGTGTGTACAATAGTTGTTTTTTATAGTACAGTGGTAACATTTGCAAACAAGTGTGCTGCATGGACAGACTACCAGCTCTCAGTTGGATCTGCCACATGAAATCAACATAATTAATACATCTTACTGCATTTTAAAATTAAAGTCCCATTGTAAGGTTGTCTGTGTTTTAAGATTATTCATATGTCATTTCATTATTCCTTCCAGCAGGGAAGCACCTTTCCTTAATGTACCAAGTTTAAAATCACTTACTTACGTAGGAAAAAATAACTGTTATTAGCACCCAGTTTTGTTGCATATGAACATTTAAGACTTTTGGTAACAACTGTTATGAAATTCAGTGCAAGCTGCATTTTACTAGGTTACTCTTCTGTCTGAGCTTCTTAGCATTTTTACAGCCTCAGAGTTGATGGAGGTTTTAGAATAAACATTGCACATTTTTGCTTTCTTTTCTCCCTTGTATAGAAAAATGCATGTGTACTTTTTCAAGTATAGTGTTAGGTCAATGTGTCAATTCCATACTGATTTTACAAAAAAACCTGAGAAGTTTGTATTATATCAGCCATCTGTTCCAAGAAAGCAACCACTAGAGAAATCAGAATTGGAAAGGTGTTCTTGACTGTATTTTAAATCTTAAGTTAAAAAACAGGTCCTTTCTGAATCAGAGAAAAATTCAGGAGTATAGAAAAACCGCATGCATTCTAAAAAACCCTGAGAACATTGGATAGGCACTGTAAATTCAGCACAACACAACAAATGGGATGACAGAAACTTCAATAGTGAAACAGTGAGAAATCATCGAGAAAGCAAATGTAAAATTGATGATAAAATTCTCTGATATAAAAAGCTGCATCTCTCTGATGTAAAAAGTTGCATCTTCACACCTTCATTTTCTCTCTTGGGTTTCTTTATATAAAGTTTTTGGTTGTTCTTTTAGGAAATGAATGTTCCATAGAGCAGATGGAGCATGTGCGGAGCATGCAGGAGAAACTTGCTCGCCTCAATCTGGAGCTCTATGGGGAGATGGAAGAACTCCCTGAAGATAAAAGAAAACTAGCCAGTGATTCCAACCTGGATAGACTGCTGTCAGATGTAAGTACTGGGAAGGCAGAAATCATAGAATTTAGCCCACAGCAAAGCTCAGTTCAGGAAAATGCCGGTCCTGTGTGCAGAGTTCTCTCTCTTGAGGAGAATGTATCTCGTCAGTGAACCAAGATGTACCCTGCCCACCTCTTGGTTTTGAGAAAACACAGGAGTTGTTCTCCTTTGTAACAGCTGCTGGTTGCTTTGGGGCAGGGAGCAGGCTGGCTGCAAGCTGCCTAAGCACATCAGCCTGCTTAGGGACAGCCCATGGACAGCTTAGAGAACTACAGCCATTTTCCCTTCAGTCCATCCTCCTACATCTGGGGGAGGTGACACATAACAAGGATAGATCTGTATATTCTACACTTTGTCTAGTGTATTTCCATAAAAACCATAACTATTAAAATTTCTTTAAATTTCTTGAGATCAGCAAATTTAAATTTAATTTGGAACTTAGCTCATTGTGTAGAATTCAATGTAGGTTTGATTTGATTTTTGTAATAAATCATACATTTCAGCCCAAACGATTAGTTATTTCCTTCATTATTTTAATGTATTTATTTCAGCATACCAGCATAATTGTTGCATTTCTTTGACTAACAGAAGTGCCATTTCTCATAATTTCTACATTTATATTGCAGCTAGAAGAACTAAATTCATCTATGTATCCTTTTCCTAAAATGTTTATTTTGCATCATAATTACTAACTGTAGTCAAATTTCAGTGTGTTTCCCAAGTAACTGATGTCTTTACAAGAGTCAAATTGCCTTTGTGTTGTTTTTTAGTTTTACGCAACAAAGGATCAAAGTGCAAATCCAGGTGTTTCTTTTGCACATTCCACTGATCACTGCATTATGTCAGGGCTCAGTACCTCGAGTTGTAGTTAATTGTGATGCTGTGCTTTTAAATTAATACTGTAATACAGCATTGATGTTTAGGTTCTTCCAGTACATGAGAGAATATATCTTAACACATCTAGTTACAGGTTGTTTTTTTCATCTGGTGATCTATTTAGCTACCATGTACCATTTGTGTACCACAATGCGTTGTCAGTGGCAAAGCCCATCAGCAGCAGGGTCTTCCTGCATGCATGAGACATTCTGGAACAAACATCCATAGAAATATTCCTACAACAATATTCAGAGGCATGTGTCCCACTGATAAGTGAAAAATTTTGGTTTTTTTTTTCTAGAAATCTGTGTGATCATTTATCCCCGCATGACTGTGGAGAGTAAACTGACCTGATTTTTTTATTTCTAGGATCAGATACTTCATCCAGAGCTTAGGTAACTGAACAAATGTGTGCTCTGAGCCCACAGAGAAGAAAGAGCTGAATGTCTCAGCTTGTCTTTCACACTGTGCTTTTGATAAGCCAGGATGGCAGTGGAGGAGTGCAGCACTCAGTTTGCTCTGCAATCTGGTTATTTCTGTTGTTAAACACTTGGCATGCATTGAGGAAGTGAGGCTCTAGTTTTTGGGGCTTAAGATCCTGCACTGGTATCTACATTCCCTGCATATCCGTGGAAAGCTGTTTAAGGCAGACTTCATAAAGAGGGTAAGTGGAATGTGATGATAATATGTAATAGAGATAAAAATCTGCCATTGCCCTTGATCCCCAGGCTAGTACTGCAGGTATCTAATGCTGAAGTCTCATTGAGAAATATTAATCTACTGGTGGGGAACTAGCGTAGGACTCATCAGAGCAGAGTTTGTCTGGACTGGTGCATACCCCAGAGTAAGCAGAGTTTCATAATAGTGCTGTCTTGTTTATGCCTTATCTGTATGTGAAAGTGTTATTCCTTAATGATTTGCTTCAGCCAAAAACTACATTTAGCTGATGCTCAAGATATTCCAAATGGTACCACAGGTTGAGAGAGAACATCTTTGTCAATCTGGATTCCCCAGCTTGGCTTTTGCTTTTCTGGACAATGGAATCAACAAGAGTTGTGACTTTGTGTTGGTTTTAATTTTACACAACAAAATCACAGTGCAAATCCAGGTGTTTATTTTGCACATTCCTCTGCACTGCATTATGTCAGGGCTCAGTACCTAGAGTTGTAGTTAATTGTGATTTTATTATTGCCTTACTTAACAGAAAAATTGGAGAAACCTGGAAATATATTTCTTCTGCTGAGTGCCCATGTGGCTGCAAGTGGTACATGTATTTAAGTTCATGGGCATTTCTCCAGTTTTTATGAAGGTAGTGATAATACTGCCTTTCTGATCATTACACAGACAATCTGCTCACTGTCTCTTTAGTGTTTTGTTGATGAGTGATGCCACAGATTAATTTATTGTTATTAAAGTTAAAAGTTTTAAATATATGATGTTTCATTTGCAGAAGCTGCTATTGGTTTGGCTGTGTTAGGAAGATGAGCTTTAGCGTTGTGCAAGTCTTTGCAGAGTTTACATTTTTCCATTACTATGAATAATTATAACATCTCACCAAATTAAAATTAGCATGCATGCTAGTAGTCTACATAAATTAAGTATTGTGAAACTACAAAATTGGGTAGTTACTGTTCAATAAATCCAGGATAATCAATTTTGTAGTTACTCTGATGTTGTAAATAGGCTACTGTTAATTGGTATGATCCTTCTGTGCACAGCCAGAGGGAAAAAAAAAATCTGTATTAGTGTAAAGTTAGGCTGGTTTTAGATCCAAAATTTCTAAGTCCATCAAACCATGTCTTTGGTTCTAGATTCATTGTATATTCCATTTTTAGGTAATTCATTCAGATTCCACACTGATTTTACACTTACTGAACAAGGAATGGAATCTTTATCCTTCTGCCTGAGCAGAAAGCTTTCATCAGCCCAGGTTGGGCCTGTGAACAAGGAATAGATTTTGTTCGGTATCTTTGGAGAAGAGGCTCCTTCAGCCACAACATGTAGTTTTGGACTGTGCAGCACCAAGCCTGCAGCACACTGGGAACAGAAGGATCCTTTAACCACCACAGATTCAGCCTCAAATTCCCTGCCTCACCTATCACGCAAATCTCCATGATTTACAAACCAGTAGGGAGCCCAGTGGTTGTCCCCTCAGGTTGTTCTTGTTCTTTAAGCAATTTATCTCCTTTGTTGCCAAGATTCTCCAGGAGTTTGTGTGCTGGTAAGTGTACCTGGGAGTCCCTGCCTGCAGCTGGGCACGTACCTGTGATATTGTGAAATCCAAAGTAAGCTTAAGAGAACTAGAATACAAAAGGCTTCTCACAGAGTGAAGCCAAGGTTGATGTTTGCTCTCCACACACACACCTCTGACCAATAATTGGGTAATTATCATTTCTGCACAGCACCTTACATCAGCACTAAGCCCTTGTTTCTGGGTAGACTTCTGAACAACAAGCAAAAAAGTAGCATCTTTTAGCCTCATGCCTCATACCAGGTGTGGCAAAAGTCACTAATAGAGCTGCAGTTATACAAAAAAAGTTGTATTCTTGCAGCTCATTTGGATGCAGGAGCAGAGCTCTGTGCTCACTAGCAGCCTCTTGCCAGCAAGTGCAGTGTATTGCAGCATTGTAATGCACACTCGTCCCTAACCACACTTTTAATTTCAGAGTTTAGATATTCTCTATTAGAGGCAGCTCTTTCCCATTTTTGGGCTCTGACATCAAACTGCTTAGGCTTACTATTTCAAGCACATTTTAAATCACTTACAAACATGTTGGATGTCTTGATCTTGTTTCTGTAGCAATTTATGCAAGGACAGAGGGTATAATTTGAGATTCAGACACAAACTAATACCTTTCTCAAACAGCTGTTTAGAATGATACAAGAATTAGCCCCTTTTTCTTCTATCACTTGAAGCCCACGGGCAATTACAAGCCACAAAGAATGAATTAATTGCGAATAATTGAAAAATTCTTTTCCCCTTACCTCCTCCTGGATACAACTTTGTGTCTTTGACACAGTCCATTAATAATTAACTTCTGGATTCATACAAGAAAACTTTGTAGCAAGACTTTTGAGATACTGAACTCTTTTATGTGGTAATGAGCTAATCACATTTCTGTGCTCCTGCAGGAAAAGAAAAAAAATCTACTGTAATATATTTGTGGAAAGTCTTTTGTAATTAGAAAAGTATGTAAGCGGCTGCAGAAAATGAGCTCACTTTCTATTATGTGGTTTCCTGAAGAGTTGTTTATGGAGATTAAAGTGTATTAAGTGTTTAATATATTTATCAGTGTGAGTTTAGGCCAGTGCTGTGGTTTAAAAACTCACACTGATAAATGGGCTTGGTGTTTGGAAGAAGGTGCTCTTGGCTGCATCACTGTGGGGCATCTGGGGCACAAGTTACATTCTCCTCTGTACTTCCAGTTGAAGGTAACAACACTGGAAGAAACAGATGGGCTGAGTCTATTAGTGCACAGCTTCTGGCTGGTGTCACTGCCAAAATTTTGGGGTTTTTGACAATGCAATTAGCTATGCAGCACCAGGGCTGCTGCATCCCCTGATGGGATGTATCCTTCTTGCTGGGGGAGGAGAGTCTTTGCTCAGGAAGTAGCAGGGCTCACTGACAGAGTTTTACAATAGATGTGGAGGGGGACTGGGACAGTCCCAGGCTTGTTGCTGCCATGACATGGGATGAGATGCAGAGGTCAGAGGGACAGGGTGGTGGTAAAGGTCCTCTGCTGCTCTCAGCTGTGCTGGTCCCAGTGGAGCACACCTGCAATCCCAGGGACTTGTCTGGTAGCAGAAGCAAACAGGAAAATACCAAGGTGGAAACACGTCAAATTAAGGAGTACTACTCTGGGAAAGACTGATTCTGCAATGACACCAGATATTGTGAATCAGCACTGAACTTTGCTGAAATAAAGCTTTACAAAGAGACTTGTGGCACACATCCACAAGAGCTGTACATCTCTCTCTCCCAAGTAAAAAAAGAAAGAAAATCATATGTTTTTAGTGGTTGATGTTAGATATAAATTTTGAATCATAAAAATTAGTCATTGTAATAGACCATAATTTTCCCACTATTTAGAAATACTAAGATTAATATGAGACCTCCAACTTACAGCTCCTTAATCATATTAAACCAGTGAAAACCAGAACAGAAATAACCAAGAACAATTCCCAACAAACTGAGATACTGAGACCAGAGTGAATGAGTAGTTTGCAAATTATCTGATCACCCCAATCAATGCAATATTGCAGCATCAAGCCAAGGTACTAGAACAGATACAGTCCAACAGTTAAGCAAGTGCTAATACAAGAAATATTATACAGAACTCTAAAAACTGCAGTGCATGCATGAAAGAAAACAGATGTATGTTACAACAAAAATCTATGTCGTCTTCATGAAAAATTTAAACCCAAAATCTTACCTTACAATCCAAATTACATCTACTTTCAATTTTAGACAGTATGCACTTTGGATTAATTCAGATCAGGACAATTTTGAGCTATGACAGTTGAAATGAGACAACCCCCCCCCCACCCCCCCAAATCAATATGTAATATTCTTTTCCACAAGAAAAAAGAAAATCTACATGAAGAGGTATTTGCAAAAATGAAGTTTTAAAACCTAAAAAAATTTTCAATGTTCTAAAAAGATAAAGGAAAAAAGGATGAAAAACACTGACAAAATTGGTACTTCTGACATTGGAAGTTCTGAGAAAGTATCAATTTTAGCATGTTTTTTGGTTAGCAAAGTCACTATGGAGGCAATGTTGTAAAAACCACAGAACCTGTCAAAATTACCAGCCTCTTAATTTTGAAAAAAATGACGTGAATAATTACTGGTTTTCCACAGAACATTCTTTTTAAAGTTACTTTATCCCAAAAGGCTACATGCAAAGTAAACTAGGGAATACGTGCTTTTTAGGTACCCTTCGGCAGCAAAAGGACCTCCTGATTGGTCTATGATCTCTCGGTTCCTTTGGACAAGAAGGCAGGTGGCCAAGTTCCTTCACAAGGGCAGTGAAAGACACAGGATTGAAGCTCTGGAAGAAAGGCTTGTTATAAACAGAACCACTCTTCTTCCAAAGGCAGGATATGTAACAGAAAAAACAATTAACATGCTCAAGGCATGGCACCTTCTGCATTTTCTGATAGAATACAATGAATTACAGCTTCCTACAAAATTCCTTTCATCTTTTTCGTGATGTATTCAACTCTGTATTCTTCACTCTGTATTTCCATCCCTTGATTAACTCAAGCTTTCTGTTAGCTCAAGCTATGCAAAATAAGGCACAAAAGCACTTACTAGAGTGCTGAATTTCACAGCATTTAATGAAACACATACCTAAGTTAATACAGGGATTCCCAAAATACTTCCTTTGCCTTCTGCAGAGAAATCATATATTGCTGAAACTCCTTACTATACATAAATTTCTTGCTAAGTCTGACACAACCAGTCAGGGATGCTAGGCCTTCAGAAGCCCTTAAGTGAGTGTCCACAGCAGCTGTTGTAATGCTTATTCCACTTCCTGCTCCTCCAGCTGTCAGGAAAATAACTGATTTCAATATGAAATCAATTTATTTTCTCAATATGCAACCAATCTTTCAAACGCTAGTGTTCCTTACTTGCCTTTTGGTTGGATACTAAAACTCACAGGCTCGTTGTAGAAGACAGTCCTGTTGCAGAATGAATTTGTTCGACTCCATGGACCATGCCCTCTTCTGTCAGCTTAAATGCAGCCTCACTTGAGCCAAAGAAGGAAATGCAGTCAGACCTCTGAGGCTAAGTGACAGAAAGCAAGAGGCACCACTGCAGCTGTAAGGGATACACCAAAGAGTGCACGTGCACTGCAGAGTATGATGTACCTCCCGTCTGTGAGCTCCTCTGCAGACTGGGAAGCAATACAGCCACACATGGTTCAACAGCACTATTGCCAAAATTTGGGTTTCCATCAACATACCACTGAAAGTCAGCTTAAACTGCTTTAACTATCTACAATGTTTTGGTAATTTCATAGGCCTCTCATAAACAAGACCAAATCAAGTAATTTTAGCTGCTTCCAGATTAAATGAATTAGTATCTGTAAGAGTGAGATTGTCAAGAATACATTCTACCAGAGATGAAACAGAATTCATCTAGCTTTCTGAAGCTCAGTATGCTGGTGAAGTGTAATAAACAGTATTAAGAGTCTTCTTAATGCTTTGTATTTAAGCTGTGAGATCATAAACTTCGTATTCATAGAGTCACAACACCAAATTTTTTAGTATTATAATACTGTTTTGGACAAAAATATTGTATAATAATTTGAATGTAAAGCATTGAATACCTATATATCAGTAGGGTAGAAAAAGGTACTGTGAAATCACTTTGAAACACACTAACAGTGTGTTAATTAGGTACAACTACTGTACAATCAATATATACTTTAGGTACAAATAATGTACAATCTACCTTTAAAGCAGAAACAGCACCTTTAAAACCCATTTTGCCAATTTAAAGAAATACTACTGAAAGGAAATTACAGAGTATTCAAATTCCTCCTCCATGTCCCCAAACAAAAGCAATTAATTCAAAGGCTAATGTGAAGTTTATATTTTGCTTGTGTACTATCAGGACAACCCTATATTGTCTCATTTTAAACACTA